AAGCTCTCTAGGTCCCACTTTACCACTGCGTACTCTTCCCAGATTTCTGTAGACACCAATCCTTCTCCAAGACTCTGTAATCTCTTCCCACCTTAACTCTCACCCCAGTAATTAGAAACTCATTTTGAGTCCCCATATGGACCTCCAGGACCCATCTCCAGCCATGGGGCCCCTGCCACCCCAAGCACAAGAATTACTTTGGATCCAAGATTTTAGGTATTCTACCCCTCATGGGTACCCTTTCTAACATCAACGCCACCCCAAGTCAGGAGCAACACAGGTAAGCAGTAAACTCCAGGCCAGATTCTCCAAAGCCAAGGAGCCTGGTGGAGGCAGTGCCTTTCTTCCTGGCACCAGACTCCCTCTGCCCCTCACCTTCCTCACCTCTTTTCAGCCTTGACCTGAGGCTTCTATCAGCAGGCACCTCAGAGCTGACACCAGAAGGACAGGGCCTGAACATGCTCTTCCCCTGGGGTCATGAGATCGTGGTCCTGACCCAAGCAGCCAAACTTGCAGAGGAGCCAGACAGCCCCAGCCCAGAAGTGGCTACTCCGTGGTGAGGCTGAGGAGGGGGAGTAAAAGAGGAGTGGAAGCCCGCCCCCCTGCAGGTCTCACTCAGAGAGCTGCCCGGGGGCATCAGCAGGGTTACTGCAGATACAGAGGGGAAGACAGCTTTCCTAGGTAAAACAGGAAACCGAGGCCAAAGATCAAGGGGGCCTCCAAGCCCCTTTCCCAGGGCTCAACCACATGCTCAGCTCACCTCTCCCAGAGCCACACTTTTCCTCCTGCAGCAGAGGCCCCCCGAGACACAGACACAAACACACACCCCAAGCAGCAGACAGACCGAGGGAGGAGGGAGGGGAGGGTATCAGAGAAACCCGGAAGGAAGGAAGCTGGACAGACAGAAGCTGATCCTGGCTTCACTGCTCCAGAGAGACACCCTCCAGCCTCCCAGACTGTCAGGGACACTCTCCTACTCAGCTCCCAAGAGGGAAAAGGGAGAAGTACCCCTTATCCTCTCCTGAAACCAAACCCCAGCAGCCCTGGGACAGGACACACACGAGCCAAGCAAGAAGCCCTAAGCCTTGCTCCTCTTCCCCATAGTCCTTCCCCAAGGGCTCCTCCAGACCAAGCCAGAGGGTGCCTCCCCTTAGTGTGCATGGACACCTCCAAGGAACTGTGTGACTACCCCACCCACCCCAGCCAAGCCCACACCACTAAGAATCCTTGGCAGGGGAGATTCCTCCAGTCACAGCCCCTTATTCTCCTAGGCAGTGCTTGGGGACAGAGGGTGACCCCCAGTAATCTCCAGTCCCAGTCAATGTACTTCCTTCTGGAGGCTCCCTAGAGCCCAAGAAGAAATGCGGGGGTGCTGGGACCCAAGGGGCTGGTTAGCCTGGGACGGGGACTACATCTCCCAGAAGCCCCCAGGGCAGGGTTGCCGCTCCAGCTGGCCCAAGGCCGGCCTTGTTCTCGGCGCTGGGGTGGCAGGGTCCCCTGGCTGCCCCTCAGCCCTCCCCCCTGTGCTCCGGGGCTGCCAACCTGACTGGGAGCCCAAGAGTAGTCTCCGCTACCCCTGGGGGTGTCCCCCACCCCTTAAACAGTCAGGGGGTGCGTGCCAGAGGGCAACGACAATCAGACTGTGGTTCCTCTCCCCAATTCAAACTGGATCTCCCTCCTCCCGCCTCTGCTGGCTCGGCACGACTTTCGCCCTCAGCCCCAGCCCACCCCTCACCTCGCGCGGGTCGTGGGTCCTCACGCCAGGCCGGAGCTGGACGCCATGACCAGGTCAGGGTCGGTACGTGGATTGGGGTCCTCCTGCTCGCCAGTTGGAGGTGCGGAGGGGGACGGGCAGGCGGTGATCTTTTGATCCTGGACGCCTCGATCTCAATACCCGCCCGGCCCGGGAGAGGGTATCCGGGGGTCGCTGGGCGCCTGGGTTCCTGCCTCCCAACCGCGGAGCATGGTCGTGGGCGCCGGGCAGCGGCGGGAGAGCGCGCACACCCGCCGGCCGGGGCTCGGGGCTGGGGTCTCGGCCCCGAACCTCACGGCTCCGGCGCCTGCTCCTCCTCCCTTCCTTCCTTCCTTCCTTCCTTCCTTCCTTCGCCTCCTCCTTTCACTTTCCCCGAGGCCCGCGGGGACGGCGGGCGCAGGGCGGGGAGGGGGCTGTCTGGGCGCTTATTGTTGGTAGGGCGCCGAGGGTCCGGGTCGCAGCCCCCGAGCGGCGCGGTGCCTGGGGACCCAGGCGTGCGGGCGTCCGGCCGGCTGGCTCCGGGCGGCGGCAGTGGTGCAGCGGCCCCGGATCCGGGGCATGTCCGGCCACTGGCTCCGCCGCGCGCCGCCGCCTCCCCGGGCTCCCCTGCGCTGCCGGAGCCTCGCTCGCCCCTCCACTCGGCTCCTCTCCCCAGCCTGAATAAGCATCGGGGCTCTCTGGCTGCCTCCTTCTGCCTTCATACCAGAGCCCGGAGAGGCCCCTGTCAAAATAAGAGCTCCCCTATCTCGCTCGCCTCCTCGCCCAACCAGGCTCCCCCAGCCTCCCAGTGGTCTGACTCGGTAAGGCGCCCGGCCGGCTAGCAGGAGGCAAGTTGGCCTGGGAATGGGGAGGGGGTTCCATCCTTCTCTCCTCCCATTCCTGGGGACTGCGGAGACGCATCAACATCCCAGGCTAGGGAGAGGTTTGGCAAACCTACCCTCCTGTCTACACTGATTGGAAGGAGTGGGAGTTGCCTGGACTCCCCCCAGCCCCCAACACACACACATACACGCACACACGCACACACACATACTACTGGGTCCCCCCTCTTCATTGCACCCACCCACATTCATTATGCACTGAGCATCTTTTTATTCATCTCTCTTTCCTAGTAGACCATGAGTTCCTTGAGGACATAGACTGAATTTTTCGTCTCAATCCTCAGCAGCGCAAAGTGGATGCTAAGAAAATGTAGAAGTGAAACCTTTGTCTTCTCAAAAGAACTCTCTTCTAAACTCAAAGTGCTACACACACACACACACACACACACACACACATACACACACACACACACACACACACACACACACACCCAAGACCCTCTAGGAGGGTAGATGCAATGAAAAAGAAATTGTAAAGCACATTTAAAAAGCATTTCACTGTGTTATTTCAATGTTTACCGCAAACCTGTGAGAAAGATGTTATGACCCCATTACACTGGTGAGGAAACTGAGGCTAGCATTAGTGAGGGACTTACTCAGAGTTGCACAGATAGAAAGTGGTAAGCCCAGGACCAGAATTTGGGTCTTCTTATCCCAGGGCACTTTCTCTGCATCCCAGAGAATTAATCCCAACATGTAACAAGCACTGACTGCCTCGGAAAGAAAGGGCACTAGCAAGCCTCTTTGTTCTTGCCAACTGGCTCCTCTGCTCTATCCCCTGCTCCTCTTTACAGATGGTTCCCAGGTAGCTCTGGCCCTCACTGGCCACTCTCTCTTCTGACCACATATCACATTCATGCCACACAAACTGAGAACCTATTTATATGGTTATCTTGTTTCTCCTGTATGTATGTCTGGTTGCCTCAGATTCTTGAGGGCCCAGACCACGCTTCTCACGGCTCTCTATTCCTCACAGTGCCCAAGTGCTGGGTTCAGAGTACAGCTTCAGTATATACTCACTTGATGGGTATGATGTCAGCAGCTGGGCACTGGGCAAGGTCTGGGAGGCACAGGTAGAGAAGGGGGAATAACCCTGAAAGAAGATAACATAATAACCCATGTGGGTGCCTACCATCGCAGTTTACAAAGCATTTTTATACACGTTATCTCTTGATCGTGTTTTGATCTAATCAACAAAACTTCTCCAAATGCCTACTAACTGCTGTGCCAAGCACCAAGCAGGATTAGGGATTGAATCATTACAACCCTATGAGGTCAGTGTTATTCCCATTTAAAAGAAAAGAAAACTGAAGCCCAAGAGGCTGAGCTCTGGTGTGAAAGATCCCAGAACCTAAGATAGCACCTGACCCATGGAAACAGGGTTAATTTCCTCTCCCCTCTCCAGGCTCCTGCACATGTAAGAGGAGCCAAAAGGCCAGAGAGCTATTTCTCAAAGAGGATGCTTGTTAGAAGGAAGGGTCCACCCCATTTACATGGATCTGTCTCCCATTACATAGGTGAGGAGCCACCTGGGCTTGTTATGATCTCTTTGGCACAATATCCAATTCACAGTAGGTCCAAAAAACAACCTCTGTAGGGATGAGTGGTGGCTGTGTTGCAAGGGGTCTGTTATATGTTGTCACAGTAAGTTCAAGAGTATTCGGCACGTCTTGTGAAGCAGCCATGTAGAGAGCTCTCCTGGGTGGGGCTCTGACTCATTCCCCCAGCGTAGGTTCCAGGTTGGGACGCGGAGCTGAGCTCGGGGCAGCCACGAGTTCTGGGTGGAACCCTGGAGTGAGCGAGGAGAGAGAGGCCGGTGGCCCTTTGCTAGAATCGAGCGGCTCCCTCTACTGGCAAATTAGGGGAATCGCCGTGTGTTTCCGTGTTATCTGTGTGTCACTGTGTCACGAGGAATGTGGCACAGGTGTGTCAGCCAGTGTCGGTGTCACTGCCGGCTTGAGTATAGGTGTGTGAGGGTGCCTGTTCGTGGCGGTGTGAGTGTGCGCAGGGCAACGCGGACCGGCTTCTGGAGTCACAGGGTCACAGGGTGTACACAACACACACACACACACACACACACACACACACACAACATTTTGTAATACATATTTTGGGCTGCGAGGTGAGGTGCTAAGGGCTGCTGATTATGAGATTACTTTCTGGAGTAACTAGTATGAAAGGATCCTCCAGCTGGTACTCCTTACCCACCCCGTGCAGATGGGAGGGATGCAGGAGAAAGGTTCCTGGGAAAAAACTGTTTCCCCCTAAGGCAACTTAAGGACCCAAGAAAGAGTTAACTTTAAAAGCCCCACGGTGACTTCAATCATTGGCTCAGGGCACTGTCAGTCAGAGTTCTGGGGGCGGGGTTTTCGGGGCCGCCTTCGGACTGCCCAGAGCCCCTCACTTGCCCCTCGACCCCCACATCCTTTTACTTCTAGACTGCGCTCACGCCCCCGGCTTGGTGGAGACACCTTCCTGAGGCTGGAGGAGGAGCGGATCCGGGCATCCTGGCTTCCCCACTCTCTCCAGCTGCCTGGCTTCCTGATAGATGGTGATTATTATATAATAGACCTGCTGGACAGAACCGTGCCAGCGCTCCGAACACTTTGCCCCCCTCCTCGAAGCCTGCCTGCCCCAGGGCCTGGCACCAGCCCCACAGAGCCTGCTGCCCAGCTCTGCCGGCGCCCCCAGCCTGTCTCCATCCCGAGGCGGGAGACCCTGGACCACCTTCACTGGTGGCCCTGGGGCCACGTTCTGGGACGGGGCGTCCGCCGGGCTAGGAGTCGGCCGGCTACCAGCAGGTCTCAGGGTCGGCCTGCGGAGGGAGTATGGCTATACCAGCGCCTCTCCACGACTGTGGGACCCACCTGGCCCCTCCAACCTAATCTTGGAATTTGGGAACCAAGAGAGGTGGGGATAGGGGCGCAGGGGCCCGGGTAGGAAAGGGACAGAAGTTTGGAAACTGTGCGGGGGGGAGGAAAAGGGAGACTGGGAGAGGGGTCGGTAAGGGCACTGGGGGAGGACTCTTATCCTGACAGGGCTCCCGCCTTCCCCGACTGGAGGGTTTGGAAAAACTGAGCAGGCAGCCAAGGCTTGCTGGAAATCCAGCAGCCCACCCTCCTGGGGACAAAAAGCTGGAGGGCGGGGGCAGGGCGGGGGAAGAGAGCACGACCCCGGGGAGGGCAGGGCCTCTTTTGGGGCTGGGAGCCCAGGGGCCAGGTCCCCAGGGAGGGGGTTCCTGGCGCTGTCTCCCTGCAGTCAGCTTCCCCCTTCTCCGTCTCTGCCCCCTCCGCGCCCCCTCCTCCCCCAGCCCGGCCCCAGTCTTGCAGATTGCGGGCAGACTTAACTCCTTGCGTGCCAGCCTGATGGACTCCGAGGTGGAGACGCTGCGAGGGAGGGACTCCAGACCCCACTCCTATCACAATTTAACACCTTGTGGCCCGAAGGCAGTCTCGGAATTTGGGCTGGTCGGAACCCTGGAAGGCTGCCTGGTCCTCGAGGTGCGCCACACAAAACCCGGCACCTGACAGCTGCCTCCTGTCGTCCACTCGTGCCAAATCTTAACTGTCCACCCTCCCCCGCCGGTCCTCTGCGTCTCTCCCTCCACTCTGGCCGCCCGGCCCACTGGTCGTTGCAAAGGTCCCTGACAGAAGGCGCGGGGACCCCGGAAGTCTGGGTTCTGTGGCTACCGCAGCATTCGTCTCTGTTTCCCGCCTGTGAGGCCCAGCGCAGGTGACCACAGCCCTGGCCTCTCTTGCCCCCAGGGGGCTCCTTCACCCATCTGCGGAGGCAGCCACCCACCTGAAGCAGGGAATGCTAGCGTCCCCCAGCTCCAGCGAGGACACGCCTGAGTAACAGGAAACCCTGATTTTGCCTCCACCTTAGCCCCTCTTCTAGGCAAGACCCTCTCCACCATCAGATTTGCCCCTCAATTCTACTATGACTGACTCTGCCTGAGGGAAGTACCTCGGACTAAGCACGAAGGGGTTAATGGAGCTACCGGGCTCTGAGTGGGAGCCAGGTGAGGCACCACCCATCTTGGCCCCCAGGTGTGAGTAGATGGGGATTGGGGATGTGGCAGAATCGCGACCTCTGGGCTGCTTTTTTTGCCCCCTGGTGGCTAGGTTTGGCTTAGCAGTCGCTGGCAAAAGCCATGCTCGGGCAGCGGTGGCAGCCAGCTAGAGTCCTCCTGCAGGAACAGCACCTTGGGAGGGGAAGGGAACCCTCTGGGAAGCTAGCGGAACGGGGGAGCTCCTACAATCCTGGCCAGGCCATCCCCACTCAGCAGGCTGCCTCAGCCACTTCTAGATCTTTGCCCTAAGGAGTCTACTTGTAGGTCCCAGGCGCCCAGACACCTGGAGGAAGACAGAAAAACTAGAGGACATAGGCCCTCTCCTGCCAGGGCCTCAAGCTAACAAAGGGGGTCAGACAAGGACACTGTGCCTCACCTTCTTTTCTTTCTGCCCCAGGCCTTCCCATTCCTCCAGACCCCAGCATCGAATTCAAGCCTGTAGCCCGGTTTCAGAGCTCCTACCTGCTACCCTGGGCCTCTTCAGCTCCCTGCCCTCTGGGTTTGTCTCCATAAAAGGACCCCTCTTATCCCAGCTGGGTGAGAGCCTTCCTCCCCCCTATACAGAAGCCCTTCCAGGCTAGTGAAGGCCATGATCTTGAAGGGTCCCTTTTCCGTCCTTTTCTTTTGCTTACCTTACTTCCCTTCCTCTCCCCATTTCCCACTACCCTCTATCGAAGATTTCCTTTTGCAGGGATAGTTCATCCAACCAGGGAAAATTCTGTCCTCCTTTTAGGCTGTGATACCTAACTCAACATCTGCCTCTTCCTCTGAGAATCCTTCTTTACCAACCCCACCTACTTACTCATTCAACAAATCTTTTTTGAGGACCTACTATATGCCGGGCAGTGGACTAGACAATAGGTGTATATTGGTGAACAAGACAGATGTGACCCTTGCCCTCAGAGCCTACAGTCTCGTTGGGGATGGACAACAGATAGGTGACTTCAGTTCAGGGTTATGAAGGCTCAGGGAGCACTTCAGGGAGACACCTATCTTGGGCTTGGAAGTCTGGGGAAGTTTCCTGCAGGGAGCAACGTCTGAGCTGAGACTTATTCCAGCCTATGGTGTGGTTCTGTCCAGGCAGACAGGACATCTCACTGGACGTCTAAAGATAGAACAGGAGCCGAGCAACGGATCTCACCAGATGTTACAAGAGATCTCTAAGGCTGCATTCCCAAGTAAATTCTCCAAGTCCCAGAAGAAAGAAGACTGGCCTGAGAGTCACAGGAGTATGTGACCTTGGCCCAGTCACACCCTGTTTCTGGGCCTTAGTGTCTTGAAATATAAAACTAGAGGGCTGGGTGAGTTTATCTCCAGGCCCTTTTTTATCAGGAAAATGGCAATTAAACAGTGGTTTTGATTTGTTGAAATAAAAACCCTCACACAGCTCTGGTCTGCTTGGGGAGGGAGAACAGAAAAATTCATAAACCCAGGAGAGGCTGTCAGAGGCGCGGCCCCAGAGGAAGCCGCCCGAGCCAGCTCCTACTCTTTGCTGCACATTGCCCGGCAGTTCTGAATCCTGGGAACATTTCATTCTTGCCGTGAACTGAAGTCAAGAGCCTTTCTGAGACTGTGCTTGCCTAGAGAGATGAGCATGCTGGGAGAGTGCTCGCAGAATATATATAGTTACTGCACTAATTTGCCCCTGTGTGTAGCACTGAAGAGCTTTTATTTTTGAATGACAGCGTTCACAGGTGAGGAAACTGAGGCCCAGAATGGTGAAAGGACTTGCCTAAAATCACGAGGCTGGGGAGTGATGTCAGAAAGCGGTGCTCAGGTCTCCTGATCCCCAGTCCAGACTCCGTCCACGCCACCATGGCAGCATTTGCTTCCAACTTTCCATTGGCCTTCTTCCTGTGTCTGGCGCATTTCCCTGTGAGGCCATGAGATCTGGGAAGGCAGCCTTGGCCTCCTTATCTGGACATCCCCTAGAGCCTGGTGCAGGGCTCTGAACAGAGGGAGGGGGGCTCAGAGCCCCATCCCCCAGCCCCCCTTTCTCCCGCTTCATGACCCTATTTACAGGCATATAGCTGTCTGGCCTGATCTAAAGGCATCTCTGGATTATACCAGGCATGTTCCCAGTCCCGTGAGGCCTAAAACCTGCTCTGTGACTTCACACAAGCTGATTACCTTCCCTGGATCTCAGTTTCTTCTCTGTCAAAACTGATTCTAACTCCTTGGCCATTTGTAGCTTGAAGTCCCAGATTAGGAAATGTTTTTAAAAGATATAACTCTAAGGTACAGGAAGGAGTATAACATCTCAGTCCGTCTGCAGAAGCCCAGCAGCCCCGGGCCATGTCTGCTCTGTCTGCAGGCACTGCTGAGCTGCCCTGCCTTCCCCTGGCACCATGCTGAACCCTGAGGAAGTTACAGGATAAGTAACCTGAATACATTCTGGTTCAGCTCAGAGGCCAAAAATAATCAAAAAGGAATCCCAATTTTTCCTGGTATGTCCAGGTGATCCCATATGTAACCTACCACAGCACTGGTTAAAATACCCTTTCCTCCTGTATTCTGCCGATCCTACATCAGCCCCTCTCTCTGCCTCTTGGTCCTCCATAGTCCACAGAGCTTCGGTCTCTCTCTTTGCCCACTGTCATCTCCTTATCTGGGTTGGCTTGGCCGCCCAGGCTCCGTTATTTTCCTTTCCCTTCACCCATTACCCAGATTCTCCCTGACACACAAGAAAGGTGCCCAGTCCCTGCCTCTCTACTCCTCTCTCCCCCCTCTTGTTCTCCCAGTTCTGTACCATAAAAGCCCTGGAACTGAGCAGGCCAAGACAGGATTTCCAACCACAGGTAAGGAATAAAATTATCTTGGTGGGGAGGGGAGGTGGGGCTGAGGGAGACAGGTTATAAATTTTTATCCAGTAACAGATAATACAAGTACCTGCCCTCAAAGAGTTTAAAAGATGGGACAATTTTTTAAAAAGACGCTATATAATTAAAAGGTGTCAATTTGCCATCAGTGGTTCCTCGGGTAGATCTGGTGCAGGAAGAGGAAACTGACCTCAGGTACAGGGAAGCACAGAGGGGCCCACGAGGGGCACAGAACGAGCAAACGCAGGGAGAATCACAGACCTTGGTGGGAGGGGGTCTCAGACCAACTACCTAGTTCGGAGTCTATCTGATGCTCAACTCTCTGCCAACATGCCTGGCAAACAGTGTATCACCATCTTGAACTGTAACGCAGAGGTTCCGTTTATGAATGTCTGTTTTTCCTTATGTGGAGCTGAGCTCTGTCTCGTAATGGTCTCCATTTCTTAGTCCGTGCACTGGCTCTGGGTATCACCCCATGTAAGTCTAATTCTTCCTCCCCATGATAGCCCTTCACATATTTGAACTTTAATGACTCCTGTTTCTTCTCCTCTTTAGTCTAAACATTCCCAGTTCACTCCCGTACCTGGCCAACTTCAAGAAAGCAGGACTATCAATCCTCTCCTTTGTCCCAATTACTAGATCTCTATTAATGTGGATTCAAATTGGATTTGCTTTTAGCACCACATTACACTCATGATTCAGACTGAACTTGCTAAAGCTCCTAATTCTATTTCACCTGAACAATTTCTGTTGTGCATTGCTGAGGTCTTACATAGACCTCTGATCATTTCATCTTCTTAGGTTTGCCTGCCATTCTCTACACAGAGATGATTTGGGGATCCTTATCTTGTCTTTCAAAGTGTTTACCATCCCTCCAGGCTTACATCTGTGATATGCGATACTGTATTTTCATCTAAGCTGGTAATAAAAATGTTTAACAGGACAGAGATGAAGACAGAACCCTACAGCATACAAGTGTCCTCCTGGATGACAGTGACCCACATTGAGAAGTAGTAAGACACCTGTTTTTGTGGGTAGGCTGGGCTTAGATCATAAGAAGCTTCAAAAACCTAATGGAAGAATAAGAAACTAGAAAGGCCCAAAGATTTTCAGTAGAAGAGTCCCATGGAAGCATGCTGGTATAGCAATTTAAAAAAAAAAAGCACTAACTTTGAAACTGCAGATCTGGATTCGAGTCCCAGCTCTATTGCTTACTAGCTATAGAACTTTGGGCAAATTACTTTAACCACTCAGCGCATCAATTTCTTCTATAAAATGGGATAATACCCACTTTATTGTGAAGATTAAATGAGATGACATCTATGAAGAGCCTAACACATAATAGGTACTCAAATTAAGAAGAAAAAGAAGGAGGAGGAAAGAGAAAGAGAAGAAAGTTACGTACAAGACAGGTTTGTATTATGAATAATCACTATTGTTTATAGTAGTCCCAAGTGGGAAGTCTAAGTGTGAAATGAGGCTCCAGTGAGGCCCAGAACGGCTTGCTGGGCACTTGAGCTAGGGTGGCACATATAAGATAGCAAAGGGATAGAAGCAGATTAAGGATGACCTTTCAAAAGGAGGACTGAAACACCTCAGACTCTAGCTAGATGACACACACACAGAGAGGAGTCACAGATGGCACCGAGGCCTTTACGCTGGGCAGCAACAGGGAAGTGCAAAGGGGGTGATGGTTTGGGGAAGACAGGCTCCTGTTCAGAGTTGTGGAATCAGGCATGACTGTAGGACAGCCCAGTGGGCCTGATCCGTGAGAAGGGAGAGAGACTCAATTTGAACTTTGGAGAGCAGGAAGTCAGAGCCAAAGGTAGGGGAGCCAGTGGGAGCTGGAGGCCCTGGGTGAGGTCTCAGAGGGCGAGTTGGGAAGCAAACCAAAGACAGTGCCCTGCCGGACACCCCCAGGACCACACCGGCTCTGACTTAGGACTGGAGTCCAAGTCAGGGTCTGCTTGCCCCTGAGCTGAACAGATGAATGAGACTTTGCAGCCACCCTTGCATCCCTGACCCCTGTCCAGAGCCACTGGGACCCAAACCCTGCCCTCCAGGACTCTCCACTTCTCAGCCCTGGTGTTAGAAGGAATACAAGTTCTGGTCTGGCCAACAGACTAGCTTGTTGCTACAATCATGGACTTAAAAAGGCAGAAACAAGAGGGAAGCTGTAGAGAGATTTGGACGGAAGTGGGCAGAAACAAAGGGAGAAGAGAGAAACCGAACCGGAGAGATAAAGAGGAAGGTGCACACCATGAGTATGTAGAAATGGAGATGATAGAGAGAAAAAGAGATTGAAGGAGGGGGAAGAAAAAAAGATTTGCTGAGAAACTGATGAAGTGCAACTGAGAAAACCGTTGCCATGGTGATGGGTCCAGAGAAGGGAGTTGGAATATAAATCGGATTATGAGTTGGGGGAGTGGGGAGGGGTTGTTGAAGACCCAGAGGCAGTACTGCCCCAGGCCCACCACCAGATCCCCTGCCCAGGAGAAGGACCTTCCCAGACGTCTCTGAGGCCAGACCAAGATGTCAGCGAGGGCCGCAGCCAGGGCCTGGAACCCCCTCTCCTGCTCTCTACCCTGGGGTGAAACACAACAGGTGGCACCGCCACCCCCACAGGCCTCACTGGCTCTGGAAGAGGCCTCTCCCTAGGCCCTAGTTTCTCTCCCACTCTTCATGAGAGCCCCAGAGTGAAGAGAGGGGAGGGAATGTGCTTCAGTCACCTACTATGAGCCACTGTGTTGGGTGCCCTGTCTCATTTCATCCTTGCACCGCCCTGGGAGGGAGCTCCACCACCTCTGTTTAGACTGGAAACAGCGGAAGGTCCAAGCTGCAAAGGAGCAGTCAGAGGTGGGGCGCCCTAGCGCACCAGCGTCAAAGCCATGCACTCTCCTCGCAGAGCCTGCCTCCCCCTCCCTGGCCCTCCCTGCACCCTTAGGATGGGCAGGACAGAGCTGCTGGGGCTGGACTGGTTCAAGGCTCCTCCTCCATTCTTAGAGACCAGGAATCTGGGAGACTTGAGGCACATAGACCGACCGGCCAGCAGGACTGGGCTAGGTGGGGGGAGCAGAGGAGCTCTGAGCTCAGGGCTGGGGAAGTGGGGAGGAAGGGCTGAGGTGAAACCGACTGGGGAGGGCAGGAGGGCCAAGGCTGGGCCATTTCCGGCAGAGCTGGGGAGAAACTGCTGGGCACTTCTGTGAGTCCCTGAGCCACACAGTGAGCCAGACTGGGGGTTGGTATTGGACTGCAGGTCCCTGCAAGTGGAAGTGGCTGGAGGGGGAGCAGCTTCTCTCCCCCTCCCAGGGGCTTCTGTACAAACAGTAGTTTTGTAAAGGGCACTGTATCTGATGTGCATATCAGACAGGGCCTGAGGAGGTGGGAGAAGGCAGGGCTCGGGGCTGTGGCCTTAGGTAGCTTGCCAAGACTGCCCATCACTGCCAGGATGGTGGGGCTCCAAAGGATGCTGGCGCCTTCCCATCATACCTCGCTGTTCCTCCTAGTGGCTAACTTGAGGCATCTCCCTCTTCCTGACGGGGACTAGCTTGAGCCACACCCTGACCCTGAAGTCCCTCTGTGTGTGGCATTGGGGCGAGGGCAGGGGCTGTCAGAAATGGCTGGAGCCCCTCATGTCACAATTCTGTTGAGTCTCTTGTCCCCTGGACTGGAGATCCCAGATCCCTGCCCCACACCCCTGCAGAGAGATCTAAGGGTAGAGGTCTTTCCTCCTCAGGCCTGAAGGGGGGCTGATAGGTCAGATGAGCTCACTTCCTGCTTCAGTTCACACCTTCTCCTCCGCACCACCAATATACCAGGAGGCGCCTCCTGAAGTCTCCTTCCCTGTGCCCACCATAGATTCCTCCAGACGACTCAGAAGGGGACCCAGCCCAAGCCAAGAGTCTAAGGAACTCGAGGGATGGGGAGAAGGACAGGCTCTTCCCTACCCTCCTTCACACCCGCCTTCCCTGGCTGTCAGGGCTCCTAGTGCCCCGTGGAACCGTAGACTCCACTTCACCCCGACCTTCAGTCCCCCAACACCCTTAGCCAGTTGGCCCAGTTTGACCCGCCTCGTTTTATGACCTTGGTTATCTGCCTGGCCCCTGGAGACACCGGGGTCTGTAGCCCCTGTCCAGGCTCCCAGCGTTTCAGTCCATCCAGCTGCAGGGAGAACCGGGGCCCTCCCTCCCCGCGGGCCACCACTCTGCCCTGTCGCCACCCCTCTCCCGGCTCTTCCAGTCCTCACATCTCTGTTCTACCAGGACCTCACTGAACACGCCAGCCCCCGGGCACTTCCATCGCAGCTTTTCATTTCCAGCCTAGACCCTGGTCTCATTCTTGCCGATACCCTCACATTTCCATGCCTCAAAACCCCAGACCCAGAGTCGGCGCGACCTGACAGCTTTATCGTGCCTACACGCAAGCTGTTGAGTAATTTGAAAAAATTCCAAAATGTCAAGGTCAGCACGATGGTTGATTTTATGTGTCAACCTGACTGGGCCCTGGTGCTCAGATATTGGTCAAATATTCTGGATGGGTCTGTGAAGGTGTTCTTTGGATGGGAGTAACACTTAAATCAGTGACCCTTGAGGAAAGCAGAGTACCCCCAGAACACAGATGGGCCTAGTCCAGTCTGTTGAAGGCCCGAATAGAACAAAGACTGATCTCCCGCTTTCTTCCCTCCAGAAAGAAGGAATTCTGCCAGCTTTCGGATTCGGGCTGCAGCTCTTTGCTGAGTCCCCGGCCTGCCGGCCTCCCTCATCAGATTTTGGACTTGCCAAACTCCCACAATCACAGGAGCCAAACCCTCACAATGACTCTCTCTCTATACACATCCTGTGCGCCCCGTTTCTCTGGAGAACCCTGACTAACGCAGTCAGTGTCCCTGAAGATGAGTGGTCCCCAAGCCCAGCTGGGTTGTTGCCGCCAAACATGCCTTTCCAAGGCCCTTAGGAGCTGTGCCCGCCTCTCCTCAACAGCTATTCCAAACTCTTGGCCCTTCTCCCCACTGGGTTTCCTGCTTCCCAGAGAAAGCAGGGGCTGCCAGGAGGGAGATCCCTTAACTTAGTTCTTCCATCCCCTGCCTGTCCCACCCCAAACCCCCAAAAAGTCTAGCATTTCTCTGCCCCACGACCCCTGAACCTTCTCTCTTCTGGAAAGGGCCGTTCTCCCTCCCCCAGGAGCCTGTCAGTCACACCCCTCCCTCTCCTGCACCTCTGCCATTAAAACAAAGCAGAGGAGCCCTTCCTGGGCCCAGGTCCCCTCCAGCTGTCTGTCAACCTCGCTTCCCAGCCAAGCTTCTCCAAGGAGCAGTCTACACCTTCCAACTCTTCCTCCTCACCTCCCAGTTACGTCTGTACACCGACAGCTGGCCGCTGCCTTCCCCACCTACAGGAAGTGCCCCCTAAGGGTGGCCATTATCTTCAGGATGCTAAGCCCAGTGGACATTTTTCAGTCCTTCCCTCCAGCTCTGACCTCCGTGCCATTGGATACCTTTTTGGAACCCTCCACCCACTCCCTCTTGGCTTTCCTCCTATGTATCATTCTTCCTTCACCAACAACTCCCCGTCCTTCTGTCCTGTAAATGCCCTTTCCTGGTATCCTGTCCTCAGCTCCCTCCTTCTCTTCTACTTTCTTTAGGGAGAAAAAGCTCTCTTTTCCACATCCTGATTTTAACTTCTGCTCACCTCCCCTCTCACACCTCTCCTCTGATCTAGACTCATGTACTCAATTATGAAAGTATCATTTCATCTGAATTTCCCAAGATACCTGTCTTAGTTATCTCTTACTGTATAACAGCTTACCCCCAAACTCACTAGCTTAGAAAAACGAACATTTATTCCGAGAATCAGGTATCTGGTGAAAGACTTGCTGGGGTGGTTCTGGCTCAGGGAGTCTCATGAAGTTGCAGTGAAGACGTTAACCTGGGCCGTTTCCGAAGCCTTGCTGGGTTGGAGGATCTCCCGAGCTTGCTCATTCACAGGGCCCTTGCCACGTGGACCTCCCCCTACAGTGCTCCCTCCCATGTCCTCCACAGGGAGCTATATAAGAGAGCAAGGAGGAAGGAGCAATGGCTTTTATGACCTAGCCTCAGCAGTGACCTCTCATCTCTCCTGCACCATGCTACTGGCCACACAGACCGGCCCTGATACAATGTCCCAATATAGTGCCTGCTGCCTCACCATTCTCCACAGTTTCCAAAATGATCTTTGCACAATTAGAACTTCTCAAAGGCTTTCAGTTTTCTTCAGGGTAAAAATCAAGCTCCTGAGCAAGCATACAAAAACCGCTGGTGGTCCAGCCAGTGGCCAGAGTTCTCACCACGACTGTCTTTGAACACTTCGTTCTAGCCAAGATGTATTGTTCACAGCTCCCAGAAGGCATCAGGGTAATTCATATCTCTGTGCCATTTTATGTACTGCTCCCTCTTTCGGGAATAGCCTCTTCCACTTATTCCAACCAGGCTAACTCGGGTTCATTCTCTAAACTCAGCAACATGAGAGCTGGAACTGTGTCTTGTTGTCTTGTATCTCACTAGCTTTCATGGTTCCCACCATACAGGAGTTGAATAACAAATGCTCACTGAATGAATAAGTGAGCCAGCCATTCCTGTGTGCCCAGTACCCCTGTGGCATGCTTGGTATACAAGGAACAGCTGGTGCACATCTCTGTCACTTTTTCCCCTCAGATCACCTTTCCTGCCCATCCATCTCTCTTTGCATCAGTGACACAAATGGAAAAACAAATTCTGAATTCTACCCCACCTCATTCCCTACCAGCTCTATGATCTTGGGAAAGTCATTTATTGCTTCTGAGCCTCTGGCCTTCTTCTGCACTAAGGGTTAAAAAAAAGGAGAGGATAAGATGAATTACTTAAATTAATATTTATTGAACCAGATACTGTGCTAGGCACTCTTAAATAAATTAGCTTGAGTGATAGTCATAATATCCCAGTGAGACAGATTTTATACCCTCTATAGAAGAGGAAACTGCAGCTTAGAGCAGTTAGGTAGGTATCTTGGCCGAGGTCACAAAGCTGGAAGATTTGGAGTAAGTGGTTGTATCACGAGCAACTTTAGGAAAATAAAGGGCCATCCAGATTTCTTCCAATCCTCAATAGCTAAGATTGTCTGTTCTCACACCTTTCCCAGCTCCAGATCTCAAGGACACAGGCTCTGCCATTTCCCATCAGACGGACATGTGGTGAGTATTGAGGTTCAAAATGACTCACCTAAAGTCATATGGTATCACTCACCCACAAGAGGACAATAGTCTCCATCAGAGGCTGAAATGCGCCCAGAGTCGAGTGGACATGTTTCTCTAATTGACTGGCAAGGAGAAGAGTGGCATTGTGGAAAGAGAACCATGGGTGTATCAGACAGACGTGAGTTCTGATCTGAACTCTTCTGGCTGCTACCATAGATCAAGGACAGAAAGTACCACAGTTCAGAGAGCACATCTGCTGTCGGAGTTAATCTTCTAGTCCAGTTACCGTAGAGATTTGACCAGCACCAGGAAGACGCCTCACCCCTGGTATTCCACCACCGAGTCAGCCCGCTCTCTCCAAAGTTCTCCTCAACGTGCAAAAGATTCCCTTGCAGTTTGTGAAAGGACGGTAGGATCTGATGTAAAAAGGAAAGAAACCCAAGGTTCTCCGCGAGGGCAGGAACTTATTTCATCTTTATATCCCTGCTGCCTAGCACAGTTCCAGGGACATACCTAGTACTTAGTTAAGTGTTTGTTGACCTGACTATGGGATTTGAAAAGAAGGAGGCAGGAGAGGAAACTTGGGTGAGTTTAGAATTGAGAATCCAAGGGGTGGACAGCCTAGAAAGAGTGAGTCCAAGAGAGACAATTCAGGCATCCGTGGCCCTGGTTCCCTTCCTCCAAACCATGAGGAGTCCTCCAGAGGAACAGGGTGCTGTGGCTTTAAATGACTCCAGCGTTGTCAATGAACCCTCTCCGCTAAAAGAGTTATCCTCTCGCTCCTGCGCTTGGCCTCCCCCTCCTCTCGGCTCCCCAAACCCTTCTCAGCCCCTGTGATGGGATAATTAGATGCGAGAGCTCAGCACAGATGATGCTCCAGTTGCTTAGCAACTAATGGTTTCCATGGAGACCGCAAAGCACAGCCTCCAGAGCAGCCAGTGAGCAGCTCGGCAGGGCAGGGAGAAGACGCAACTCTCAGTTCCTCCAGAAACCTGGGGAGGGCCCAGGGTGGGGGGAACTGAGGGAGAAGGGGGGCTTAAAGGCACAGGGCCCTCTTATCCTTTTAAAATATGCTCAGAGCTCTGCCCTCTCCGATGCCACTTTGTCCCATATACAATTTCCAGGGGGATGGGGGCTTAGGAGCAGACCCAGCCTGACCCACCCTGCAGTAAACCCAACCTCTTCTCTCTGCTTCCTGGTTTGTGACTGAAATGGGAAGAGAGACCTTTCAAGCCCAGCTGCAAACATCCTTCTGGGTGCATGATGGGATCTGACAGAGTGCCAAGCACTGGAAGACTCCTCACCCCCAGTCTTCCACCACTGAGTCTGTCCCCTCTCTAAAGTTCTCAGCGTGCAAAAGGTCCCCTTGCAGTTTGTAGAATGATGGTAGGAGCTGATGTAAACGGGGACAAAAGCCAGGGTGCAGGACAAACAGAATTCAGTTCTTCACCCAGAGGCAAGTGTCCTGGGAGGCAGGAGAGGCACCTGCCCCTGAGCCCCATCAGGGGACCCAGTGTGCGTGCTGGGGCTGGGGGCGCAGCCGACACAGAGCATCTGGCAGCTCCAAGTGTGGGCCTCTCAGACTAGCAGCATCCATCAGCGTCACCTGGAAGCTCGTTAGAAATGCAGAATTCCAGGCTTCACCTCAGACCCACTGAATCAGAAATCGTATCTTAACAAGCTCCCTGGAGATTCATAGGCCCATTAAGTGGGGAGAAGCACTGGTCTAAAACTCTGCTTGGACCCATGAGTTCTCTCTGTACTGTCACCCCCTCCCTGCACCCCAGGCTTTGAACCTACATGGGGGCAAGGACAAAACCCTACCAGCCCCTCACTTCCCCACCAGGACCCTGACCCTTCTCCGGCACTGAGGAAGACAGGAAGGTTCATGGAGCAGAGAGGCAGGAACACGCTCCACAGACCCCATTCCGCTCCCCACAAGGGACTCACTCCTCTGAGTTTCGGTGCCACATCTGCAAAAGGGAGCAAACAACGTCTGCTGCCCACAGCTGTCAGGATACCCGGGCTGGTGTGTGCAGGCACTGACCCTCGCCCCTCCTTGCCCTCTGCCCATCACTCCCCCTTCACATTTCTAAGGGGCACAGGGGTGGGGGCAGCATCAGAGAAGTTGTGTCCCTTTCTCCTTTTCTCCTACCAAGTCTCTCTCTCTTCTTTATTCTCAATCTGTTCACCGGTGGTGCTGACCAAGGCGACGGCTCCACCTGGGCCAGTCAGTGCACCCCTATGGGCTCTCCGCAAGTCTTCCCTGGCATCCCTCGGCCCCATTCTCCCATGGACTCTGAAGCCCTGCCCACCCCCTGGCACTGACACCCCTCTGCCTCGCCCAGAGCAGCGGCACCTGTGCTCTAATGGACACCAAGAACTGGGACCCTTGGCTCTGCTGTGCCCACTTCCTAGCACCAGTCCAGTTTCTGCCCCATTCCTGCCCTTTCAAGTGTCCCTCGGGGTTACTCTCCTCTTCCTGCCCACCAGGGCAACCTCAGAACTTGCCTAGGAAGACCCCCCACCTCCCCAGTGGGGAGCCGACCTCACAGGCCACAGGCAGCAACACATGTGGGAGGCCCGGAGCAAGGGGTGACTTCCACCCCCACCTCAGTGACTCTGCCCCTTTGCAGCTGACAGCCACCAAGATGCAGGCAGGGCATACCCCTCCTGGCCTGAGAGCCAGCTCCCCATCCTGAAAAACCTGTCTGGGGGCCCCTCCCTGAGGCTGCAGCACCCAAGGGGCAGGTTGGACAGGATTCCCCTCCAGCCCTTCCCACCCCCAGGACAAAATCAGTCACCCCCAGGGCACGGCCTCACTTGCCTCAGGAGCCACGGCCTGCCAGCACCCATTCTAGCTCCCCGTCCAGCTATGGCACCTCCGCTGCCTGTCCGGACCTTGCCCTTGATCCTGATTCTGCTGACTGTCCTGGCACTGGGGACCTCAGGTCTCTGCCACCTCTGGAAGGGCCAGGGAGGGGCTCTGGGCCTGGGCAGGAGGTACTGTGCCTTCCGGGGCTCTCAAACACAGCTGGCCTGGCCAGCCACGGGTGGGGGACTGCCGATGGCAGTGACCAGGCATCAGTCCTGGGCCCAGGGCCTGGTCCGGGGACTCTTCCATTCCCAGCTGACAGGTGTGTAAAGGGCCCGAGGCTGTGGGCAGAGGGTAGGGGTATGGTTGGACGCTGTCCCTTACTGTCCCCCAGGGTCTGGCTGCTTTGTCCAGTATCCAGCTTCTGCAGCCCAAGCCTGCCACCTGGTGGTTGGACGGCCACGGACGGCGGCATGGAAGGGCCAGATGTGATGGCGGGGGAGGGGACTGATCTGCCCCCAGCCCCCACTAACTCCCTCCTGGCCCCCCAGCAGACTTCAACATCTCAAGCCTCTCTGGTCTGCTGTCGCCGGCACTAGCGGAGAGCCTGCTAGTTGCCTTGCCCCCCTGTCACCTCACAGGGGGCAATGCCACACTGATGGTCCGGAGAGCCAATGACAGCAAAGGTTTGTTACCCACCCCCAAGGTATCCCCTAATCCCCATCCCCAGAGGCTCCTTCCCAAGACCCCCCTCCCCCGCCTCCTTGTCTTGCGCCTGCCTTCCTGCCCACCCTTCCTGGGCCATGCCTACACTGAATGTTGCCCCCTCTCCCTGGGGCCCCCAGAAACTTGACCCATCTTTACCCCTAATTTCCTGCCCAGTGGTGAAATCAAGGTTTGTGGTGCCTCCATGCCGCGGACGCAGGGAGCTGGTGAGTGTGGTGGACAGTGGGGCTGGCTTCACGGTCACCCGGCTCAGTGCCTACCAGGTGACAAACCTCGTGCCAGGAACCAAATACTAGTAGGTACCAGCCCCAGGCCTGGGGCACTGTGTGGGGGTAAGAAAGAGAAGATGGGTCCTGACATCTGCAGTGGGCGAACATGGTCAGCATGGGGAGAGGAGGGCAGAGCTAAGGGGTCAAGAATGGGCCTTCCTTGGAGGTCCTGTGAAGGGGGAGGCCTGGGCTCCTTCTCCCAAGTCCCAGGTAGTCGCTGAGGATCGTCTCCTCTCTCTCCCAAACCTCACCACAAAAGCATTTCCTACCAAGTGATGAAGGGGACAGTCACTGAGTCCAGCAGAGAGATCCCCATGTCCACACTTCCTCGTGAGTAACATCCCCGGGCACCCCAGGCCCAGCTGCCGCCCCCCCCGTGCCCACCTCTCCCAGCTCTGAGCCCTTGGCTCTGCAACTGCCTGTGGGCTCGCCTGCCCGCGCTGTAGGGGTGTGTCCAGTCCATCGCTGTGACCTCAGGGACTGACACCGGAGGGTCTCCAGGGCTGTTTGGGTCCCTGCGAGGATCAGTTGGTGGCTGGATCAATAAACGGTGAAGGGACGACTGGATGAGGGCTGGGCGGGGAGTCTCGGGAAGGAGAGGGGCTCCTCCGGCCCACAAACGCCTCCCTGCTGTCTGGAGCAGGAAGGGCGGCAGAGTCCCTGGCGCTGGGAATGGCCCGGACAGGAGGTATGGTGGTCATCACGGTGCTGCTCTCTGTCGCCATGTTCCTGCTGGTTCTGGGCCTCATCATCACCCTGGCACTGGGTGCCCACAAGTGAGGAGGACTGCGCGGAGCGGGGGCCTCCCCCAGGAAGCCCAGGCTGTCTGTCCCCAGCCCAGGGCTCTGCCTCCCCTCCTGAGAAGACTGTCTGCTCCCAGGCCTCAGTCACCAGACTGGCTCCTTCGGCGCCTCCCCTCCCCTGCCCGCCTGCCCCCAGTGGAGCCCATTCCCCTCCTTTCCCTCTCCTTGTCCCCTCATGCCTCACCTTCCCCCAGCACTCCCCACATTCCACTCACCCGACTCCCGTCAGAATTGATACTCCTCCCATTTTACCTTAAATGCCCCACCCCTCCCGATGACAATTCACCCCCGACCCTCAGTGAACAAAGTTCCTAGAATAAAGTCTGATGTCCCACCAGGCACGTGTGTTTCCCTCCTGTGTGTTCCACTTGGGTGTGAACTTACAGAAGCTGTGTCCAGGCTGCAGGTGCCCCCAGAACCCCAGAGTTGCTTTTCCCAGAAGCAGGAAGGGGCCAAATGAGATAAGAACCCAGGGCTGAGCTCTCAGACCCACACCTGGGCTGTGGGTTTTGTGCCCTCCACAGCAGGCCGCCCACAGCTGCACTGTGCAGGGGGCCTTAGAGGCCTGGCGGCCCTGGGGGCTGGCGGAGCGGTGGCGAGTGCGAGGGAAAGAGCCGAGGCTCTGAGCGGGGCAAGAGGGCCACCAGGGTGAGCCCCACGGACAGGGCGTCGGGGTGGGGAGCGAAGAATAGGCTAAAGGGGCTCCAGGACGTGAAAACAGAAGCACAAGGGCCCTGGGTGGAGGGGACAAGAGTCTGGTAACTGAGGGAGAAAAGTAGGAGCGGCCCCCCTCGTTCACCTGTGTCCTCTCCAGTATGTGTTCCTTGTGAGGATCAGTGGTCTTCGCTTGGCTCTTACGGTAAAGACCAAAATCTCCAAGGTGACCTCCAAGGTCAGCCCTCTCCCATAACAACCACCCCTCAGCTCTCACTGTCCTGTGTTCCCTCTCACCTCAGGACCTTTGCACAGACTATTCCATATGCCTGGCCTGCTCTTGGGACTGCCCTAACCCCATTCCTATTTGCTTAGTTAACCAGCTTCTTCAGGGAAGCCTTCTCTGACCGCCATCCCCCGTAAGACTGGGTTTCCCCATCCTGCCTCTCATACCTTTACTACGGTTTACGATCGTCCATTTGTGTGATGATTCAGTTGTCTTTCCCACTAAACTGTACGTGCCTGGAGAGCAGCCACTTTGCTCCCAGTGCCTGGGACATAGTAGGTATTCAAGAAATACTTAATGAGGAGCTGAATGAACGGAGGAAGGAACAAGCCCCTGAAGAGAAGGAGGGGGCTGGCAAAGTGTCAAAATTCTTCAAAAACAATAAAAAATGACAGAGTTAGAAGATGCTGGAACAATGGTCTCAATGACCCTTTTCCAGAGTAACCCAAGAGCCTGGGAGAGGGACGCAACGCAACAGAAAAACAATGATCATTCCATAGACATTGCTGAGCATTTATCATGTGTCAGGTGCCAACAGAAGTGAATAGACATTGTTCCTCACTCACGGAACTTACATGGAACTTAGAGGAAAAGACAGACTCCCCAAAATGTGAACAAGGAAATAAGTGGAATACAAAATGTTTGTATGTAAATAAGTGCTATGAAAACAGAGAGAGGAGGTGAACATGGGGCCTTTCTTAGTTTGGGTGGGCCTAACTGAGCTGGGGCCTCAAGTCAGGGGAGAGGGTCAGGGAGATTGTGCCCTACAGAGAGAAAGGTCCGGGCTCTGCTTCTCCACCCTGGCTGCACCAGCCGAGGGAGGGTTGGGAGCCCACCTTTATGAAGTGGGAGGGGCATCAGACTGGGAGCCAAACCACGTCCTCCATTCAAACCATCTAGGGGGCTTTTAAAAACCACAGCACCTAGGCCATACCCCCCCAGCATCAGAATGACTGGGGATGGGAGCCAGGCAGCAGTATTCTTTAAAGATCCTCAGAAGATTCCACTTCTCAGCAAAGTTTGGAAGTGACTGATATAAATATTTTTAAAATTGGGGCAACATAAACATAACACTATTTTATTATACCATTACTCATTGTATTATTAACTATTTAAACCATTTTACTAATTTCATTTTTAAGTGTACAGTTCAGTGGCATGAAGTACATTCACATTGTTGTATAACTATCACCACCATCCATCCTCAGAACTTTTTCATCTTCCCAAACACAAATTCTGTTCCCATTAAACGTTAACTCCCCATTCCCTCCTCCCCTGCCCTTGCCGGCCACCATTCTCCTTTCTGACTCCGTAAATGTGGCTCTTCTAGGTACCTCATAAAAATGGAGTCGGACAAAACTTGTCCTTTTGCGTCTGGCTTATTTCCCTTAGCATAAGGTTTTCAAGGTTCATCCATGTTGTGGCATGTATGAGAAATTTATTCCTTTTTAAGCCTGAATAATATTCCATTGTATGCATAGACCGCATTTTGCTTATCCATTCACCTGTTGATGGACATTTGGGTGGTTTCTACCTTTTAATGATTGTGAATAATGCTACTATGAACATAGGTGTACAGATATCTGTTCAAGTCTGTGCTTTCAGTTCTTTGGGGTATATATACCCAGAAGTGGGGTGGCTGGATGATATGGCCTATACTGTTCTCCACAGGGACTATACCATTTTACATTCTCACCAGCAATGCACAAAGGTTCTAATTGCTCCACATCCTAGTCAACACTCGTTATTTTCTGTGTTTTGTTTCTTTATTTTAATAATAGCCATCCCAATGGGTGTGAAGGGGTATTTCATTGTGGTTTTTATTTGCATTTCCCTAATGATTAGTGATGTTGAGCATCTTTTCATAAGAAATGTCTGTTCAAGTTCTTTGCCTATTTTTAAACTGGTGTTTTGTATGTGTGTGGGAGTTGTAGGAGTTCTTTATAAATTCTGGTTGTTAATCCCTTATCAGAAATATGGTTTGCATGATATAAACATTCTTAAATGATAGACTAATTTGAAAAGGACTATAGAAGGGTGAATGCATTACAATAACTTTTTTTAAAAATATAAAACAGAGAGGCGGAGCCAAGATGGCGGAGTAAGTAGAGCAGTGGAAATCTCCTCCCAAAACCACATATATCTATGAAAATATAACAAAGACAACTCTTCCTAAAATAGAGACCAGAGGACACAGGACAACATCCAGACCACATCCACACCTGTGAGAACCCAGCACCTCGCGAAGGGGCCTGCAATGGCAATAAGTACGTATCTTTCAATAGTCACCCTAAATGTAAATGGACTGAATGCACCAATCAAAAGACACAGAGTAAATAGAATGGATAAAAAAGCAAGACCCATCTATATGCTGCTTACAAGAAACTCACCTTAAACCCAAAGACAAGCACAGACTAAAAGTCAAGGGATGG